ACGATTCATCACTTGTCACGATGTCATAGACGTGTTTCGAAGCACCGCGATCGTATTTTTTGAGCATTTCTTTCGACCAATCGACACAAGCCTTTTTTTGAGCGATTGACAAATTGTGTGGGATCCAACGCGAACAAATTTTTTTGACAGTCAAATGTTCATGCAATATTGAATGTATGCTGTTCCCACTAATGCCTAAGGTTTTCTCAATCTCACGATAGGTCACATGACGATCTTGCAATATCAGTTTACGCACAGCATCAATGGTTTTCGGAACAACAACTGATTTTGGACGACCTTCACGAAATTCGTCTTGGAGTGAATTACGACCACGATTGAATTCACCATATCATCGATAAACACTAGTCCTTGATGGAGCTTCATCGCCAAACATTGAATTAAGTTCATCCATGCACTGTTACTGAGTTAATCCACGTCGAAAGTTGTAAAAATAATGGCACGAAAATGTTCACGATTTAATTCCATTTTTGGGCCACGATGAGTCTTTTAAGTTACTGTAAACAACACAAATAGCGGTCGTATGTCAAAACGTTCTAAGTACTTATAACCTCAAAAAATCCAACTTTACGATAGAGCTGTCAGTTGCCAGATTGCAACACCAGGGTTGCCAAATCCCGAAACATAAAAGGCAACCTTCGTACTTTAGCCGCTTGATGTAGACTATCTTTGATGTGTTTATATATCTCCTTATTTGATCCAACTACGATTTCATTCAATAAATTATGCAATCTGTTTTGAAATAAAAATCTCATACTTGCTTGTGATAGACACACTTTATTATATCTTCTAGATTATTAACCCAAGTTCACTGATTACTCCATCTATTTTTGAGTAAAATTTACTTTCATCAGCCTCTCGTCTATGGCTTCCCAACTTATAATATGGTTCCTAAATTTATTTTATGATTATAGAAATCCTTTTACTACCCATATAATCTTTTGGTACTTCGCTCGAAATATGAACATAGGATCCAATCTCTTCTATACCTGAGCTCTTTTTCTTTGTCTCACTTAAACTTGCAATATCCATATTTAAATTTTAAAGTATTTTTGCGTATATATATATATATATATATATATATATATATATATATATATATATATATATATATATATATATATATATATATATATATATGAATATTCATTGTCAATTTCCTTTGCTTTGTTTGTCTGCAGTTACCGTCCGTGTTGTCATGATTAAGCCTTTTAGCATTTCATAGTTTTCACATGGACGAAAACGAGGAACTGGCCCATCGTCCCAACCGCCTACTACGAAGACCAGGATTTTTACTTTCTCGTATACTGTATCCGTACCAGCTTAGATTTGGAAGCGGGGATGTGGTTTCCAATAATACACTCAGACGTTAAATATGTTTGTTAAATTTAATATATGGTGATGGGCATGGATGATAGATGATATTACATGAAATTTATTCCAAAGTTGAAACATGCGACTTTTCTTTTAATTTTGATGGTTGACCCGACACAAACTAAAATAAACTGGTTAGGCCGCCGTAAATGCCGATGCTGATGGCATCTTTCTCAGCTTTTCTCAATTACTGTCCTACCGCATTTTAGCGGGAGTAAAGCTGGTGATTACCATTGTTGTTGTTCCGGCAGTAGAACACACCCGGCTGGCGGTGGTGTTGACCGACGGGTAGGGCGGGTCGCCCCGGACAGCTGCAGCCAAGACCACGGCCGCGCTCCAGCGTTGCTGTGCTCGTCTCCCTTGCTCAGACCGGACGCAGGGATGGAAGCCCTCACCGTCAGGCTCCCACGATTCGCGCCGGCGATGATTGATTGAAATTCATTTAATTCCCGATTCGGGTTATCGCGGATAGTCTACTACCGTAGTGCGGGCTAAGCCGGCCTATGGCACGTAACTGAGTGCAACTGTGCACCAACGACGCATTGACGTGCGAGTGCAGCGTTTCTCGAAAGTCACTGTTTTTGGAACTGAACCTCTCTTCGCGAAGTCTCAAAAGTGAATCTTTTTGGAGCTGAACCTCCCTTTGCGAAATCTCGAAAGTGAATACTTTAAGAACTGGACCTCTCTTCGCCAAATCTCGAGTTTTTTTTTCTTTTGGAGCTGAACCTCCATTCGCGAAATCTCGGAGGTGAATGCTTTTGGAGCTTCTCTCCCGTCATCATGAGAGCCCTGGTACCCCCTCCTTCTTGAGCCTCCTCCCGATTGACCAATATCAAATTTCAGCGGGGCCGAGCGAGGCGGGGCGGGGCGGAGCTTCGACCAATGACTCGACGATCCACGCAACAGACGAAAATTTCCCGTTGCTTAGCGCTGCGGGCATAAGTCTCTTCGCGGTCGGCGAGAATGACGTTACGACCTAGATCGCCGGGGTTGCACGTGCGCGTCAAAATTCGTTAGGTTGTAAACCTTTCCTTCAAGTGGGTGCGACTGACGCGCGGAGGAAAGACCGCCCGTCCTAAGTGCTCGGCGAGGGTGGCGCGGCGCCGACAAAGGTACCCCCATCACACCGGCGGTGGCACGGCAAGCCATAAACGATCCGAGTTTCTCACTAACAGATGAGGGTCAGGTAAGGCCTTTTCAACGGCCGCTGGCCGTGCTAGATGACCGCGATTTCATCGATATACACTCGATATTAAATTCATGGCAGGTCGTACCGTTACAATACGTACGTATATACGTAGTAGTAATACACCCAGGAGTAATATACATAATGTAGGGAAGGTTATGTAATGCTGCGGAAAATCAATTTCGATATTTCAACGGAAATACACGTTTTGAGGTCCCCTGATACCGAAAAAATGTTTTTCAAAACGTCGGTCTGTCCGTCCATCCGTCTAGTGTCTGTGAACAGCACTAGCGCCTAAACCATACGTAGGATTTTTTCCAAATTGAAGAAACTCCTATCCATCTGGCTCGAGTCAAAACTTCGAGAATTTGGAAAACATTCTTCAAATTTTTGGGGTACTTTACATGACGCCCTCCGGACTCTTTCAACATTTTCTCAAAAACGGCTCCAAATGTTTCTTTAAATTCCTTACAAGAATAGAGTAACATCAACTTATAAAAGTGGTATAGGTCCGATTTTCACTGTTAACTCTAAATTTTCGAAAATTTCAAAAGTATGGATTTTTTCGGTGTCTTCCTACAACTACAAAATTAAAGATAAAGATTTTTCCTTTAAATACAATTTGCTCTCCATCGTTAGTTCTTTCATTAAGGTCATGTACATTTGTTTAAAAAATTTAGTAGCCTTCGCGCAATATGTGCAATTTTAAAAAATTACGGAAACAAGATTTTCTGAAAAACGGCTCCATTTTTTTTCTAAACATTTTGTAAGGGTAGTGCTAAATGTACTTTAGAAGATGACATAAACGCCATATTGCTTTATTCTTTTGTTGTTTTTTCAAAAATTACAAAAATTTTACTTGTCTCTCACGTCTTTAACATTTACATTAGATGCAATTTTTTCACATTACTATATTTCAACTCAACCATTTTCTGCGAAAACTAGCTCAAACTTCCGCATTTTCAGAAACGCTCAAACGCAATTTCCTCAAAAAACGGCTTCTCATTTTTTCTTCAAACTTTTCCAAGGGATAGTACTAATTGCACACTTTTACTATGACGTAAAGTTCATTTCGGGGCAGTTTTTTTTTTTTTTTTCAGCGCACTCTACCGGAAGTTCTCTTCTAGCGCCCCCTCCCCTTTGATCGTCCAGCAAGGAAGCCCGCGCCAGTAGCTACGCTACCACCGGCATAGCTATCGGAATCAAATGTTTTAAACAAATAACAATGCAACCCAGCGAATTAGCTCTCGTCGAAAATCCATCACTGTCGGGACTCGAATCCTAGGACCTCCCGGCCAGTCTACTAGACCAATGTTGGCCCTGTACCTTTTTTATTTTCTCGCCTACCTGCCTATATACGGAGTATAGGGGAATGCTGCGGAAAACCGATTTCGAGATTTGAACGGATATACACATTTTGGGGCGCCCTGATACAGAAAAAGTGTTTTTTGTTTGTTTTTTCAAAACGTCCGCCGGCCGTCTGTCTGTGAACACTAGTTCCTAAACCACACGTACAGTTTTCCAAAATGGATATTCCCCGGACGATCTGGCTCGACTAGAGTTATTTTACTATTTTTAAAAATAACAAAAACAAGGTTTTCTCAAAAACGACTCCAATTTTTTTCTTTAAACTTTTGGTAGCGATAGTGCTAAGTGTACTCTATTGGATGACATAAACATCAGTTTTCTATATTCTGTTGTTTTTTTTCTTTCAGAAATTACAATGCAATTCTTTTACTTTTCTTACGTTGTTAATATTCACATTAGCGGCGATTTATTCACATTATTACATTTATGAGTACATGTGCCTTAAATATTGTCATAAAAAATTTTCTCGAAAACTTCAAAATTCTCGAACAGATCGCGCTAATTGCACACTTTAATATGATGTAAAGTTCTTTTGGGGGTACTTTTTCTTAAAAAATTACACAAAGGTAATTTTTCTAAAAATCTCCCTCCGTTAAATTGCACATTTCCAACAATTTGTAAACACTATTGTATTTGTGAGTTGAAGTTTTTCGAAAACTCAAAAATCGTGAGTGAAAAAGAGCTAAGCAACTGAAAAGGCTCCAAATTTTTAAAGGTAAATTGCCATTTAGGGCGACATTTTACTGTTATTTAATATTCATAAAATAATATATCCATTCTATTAGAAAACCAAAAAAAATAAGAAAATCTTTTTTTTTTTAATGTACTTTGAGTGGTGATAAATGGTGCTGGCAAGTCCGAGTAGCTAGTTTGACCAAAGGAAATAGAAAACTATATTAAAACACTAGACATTCATGCTCCAGCTTGCAGTTAATTGGCACGATTTTCTATGACAACTCTCAACTTTGTAGTCTTATTTGAACAGTAATATAAGAGATGCCTGAAACAGTAGAGGATCCCAGGGATAAAGGCAAGGGAAGCATGCTCTTATTTTGGTCGGATATTTAATTCTGTTCAAAACAAATATCACAAATTAAATTTGTCACATTCTGAATAATCGCATTAAGCCAGAATGGAAGGTATATTATGAAGGAATTCACTTTTAAAAATTTTTTTCTTGAACACATTTAATAATGGGGGAGGTCCAAACGAAGTCGTCCTCCCTCCCTGAACTTTTCTATATCCAGCCCTGGCTTGATTCGATCTGAAATGTAATTGTATCAAGATCGCTAATGAGACAAAATAAAACTTATTGGAAATCATTTCCATGAAGTTGCCTTCCCCAAATTAATTCTTTTATATTTTTCTTGTTCAAATTTCACATAATTTTTAAAAACTAATTTAACCTTCTTTAATAACAAACAAGATTATTTTCTCTGTTTCGATAATAGATAAGCCCAAATAATCCCATTACACATTGGAAATACTAACAGTGAAGTTGGCAACAAAAAAAAGAGAAATTCAATTCTTTTACTTTGCACTTCTTTGCCTTATCTTTGACCATCCCTTAGGAAATGACAGCGGGTACCTTTACTATTCACATTATATTACACAATTAAACAAATATTATATATTTTCACATTACACAATTTGTTCAAACCTCATTAACAGATCTAGTGTAAATAAGCCTTCTCTTCGAAGGTTGCTGATATCCATAAACTTTAATTCATGTACATATCTTGTTAACATCACATCATAATTTCAGAGCTGACTAAACTTATAAAAGAAAAAAAATTACAAATTCACACTAAAAATGTTTAAGAACGTTAGCAAAAATATATTTTTTTTTTTTTCAATTTAATTATTTATTTTGTAATACTATACACACTATACTATACATATTTGAAAATGCTCCATATCTGATATGTTTGACAGTCAGCCTTATACAAAAGCTCTAGGTTCTCAGAATCTATCAACTTAACAGTAACAGCATGTAACATAGTGCCATAACCTAAAGAGATTTTTCTAGCTAAAGCACAAGTAAATTCTACTTAATTTACAATATATTTGACAGAAATATTCAAAATATGCATATTTGGCACATGTTAGTTATTACTTTGTGGCGCACCCATTTGTGAGAGTGGGAGGCTCAGGGGTCTCTGGTCCCCCCACCCCTCCAAGTCAATGACACACATTCAAAAATACAGCTTTCACTAATTTTCCATACTAACGAAAGTCATTTAATATATCAATTGTTAACTTTATAAATGTTAAGTATAAGTCAACAAATAAGAATACACTTTATATTGATCTTTGATGAACAATTCTTTGTAAGAAAATATTAAGGCAGCCAGTGTGTCCAGTCGACTTTTGATATTTTACACACCTCCCTCAGTGCACCACTGATTATTTTTCATATCTTTTGCTTTTGTAGTGTAACACCAAATGTATGCATGTTCATTTAAGATTCTGCATTTACTCCATATTTGGCAAAGGAAATTGAAAATACTTGCACTGCATGTGCCTGGTTATCAAAGTATCACATGAAGTCAAGGGGAAAAAGAAACAAAAAAAATTAAAAGAAGAAAAACACCTTGAAGTTGGTCAGTCTCTCAAGAAATATTCAATATATTAAATTAAGAAGAGTCCGTTTAGCACCAGATCCAAGAACCAAGTCCAAGGTATTTCACTACAAATTTATAAAGGACCATCATCTTACCATTGTCAATACATATTGGGATTTTTTTTCTTCAAGAATGAATGTATATGAGACTTAACACAAAACAAGTTTCTCAACATTTGTAATCGATTGCACTGCAAATGAATAAAAAAATATGCACAATATTTAATTATCACAATCTTTTTTTAAAATGGGCACAACAACCCTTTAACAATACATATTATTTCATAATAATGCTATAAAATACACAGTAAAAATGGCACAGTACAGAAAAAAGAGAAAACATCTTGGTAATACATGTAAAGAACACAATGTACAATATTTACCATCAATAGATTCATTCATCTTCTTTAATGAGGCACTCAAATGGCACAATCCTCTGTGTCAGAACACAATATAATACAAAAGTATATAAAAAAGTACAAAAATACAAAATAGAGAATTTTCTTAATAGCTGCATTTTCTGAAGTATAGGGAGAAATTCCATAGAAGTATATTCTCTCGATAACCTAGGTGTTTTACATTTCAAATACAAAAGCAGGAATGATTATCACACCAAAATATTGATTTTGCAAATATCAGTAAAAATGTCTTAAGAAGACCAGTCCACATACTATAAAAGTTATTTTGTACACAACAAACAAATGGCAGAGGTGTGAGCAACTTATGCACCCAGTTACTTTGTGTAATCTGAAACTTACAGTATACACAAATAAGTATTTAGACACTTTTATATCTTTTTCATGGATTCAAGAAAAAGTGAAAATTGTATAATTGCATTGAATCTCATATCTGAACTAGTAAGATATGACTGTTGGTGGTTTTCCAAAATATTTGTCTGATAAAATTGATAAATAGTTACACTTCTATCAAAGCAACGACCTTTTTCCTCTTGCGACCAAAATCATTTCAAAGTTTGTTCTTCTGGAAGTTCTTCACTGTCTAAAGAGTTGTAATATTCATCTACGTCCTCATCATCAACCTCTTTCAATGGACATTTTGGGCACCTAGGAAAATAAGAGGATGTTTTAGAGAACAATGTTAGTCTACTGGCTGCTTACCTGGCGATTCCTGGGTACTTATCACTACCATCTAGTAAACAGCTCTGCTTGCCCACACTGCCCAACTCGAATGCTCTGTCTGCATTATGTACATTGCAGATTGCACGACCTTTCTTGTCACTTCCTTTCCACACACACTCCTACGAGTACATTAATTCCACAGTATTCGTTTGTAGATTCCACATAATGAGTTCCAAGTACAAAATTTCTCAAGGTGTTACAAAGTTATCCTGGAGCACATTCCACTTTTTTTTCACACATTTCTCTTTTCTTTTCTTTGTAATTTGAAAATTTGCCAAGTATTTTACATTAATTTTAAAAGATTATTTAATAAAAACAAGACTTGTGTACTGTTCATTAATCCACTCCCCAAATTTTCTGAGAAACATGCATAAGAATATTGATAAAATTGCCTTCAAAAGTTTCCTGACTTCTATAGATTTGTCTAGAAATTCCCCAACTTTCCTGATTTTCCAGAAAAGACATTGTTTCTATAATTGATCTTGAGCATTTTGGCATTGATTGGTTTTTGAGCAATGATTGAGCATTTTTGCTTCAGCCGGTTCAAAGGGACAACACTCGCCAACACCATTACACAACTTTCCTAGGGTCATCTGACAAGTTGTCCGACAACATTTTCAGGTTCCAATGGACGTGTTTGAATATCAGTGCTGTACGAGATCATTACAGTCAAAACATATTACAAGAGTAAGACTAAATTAACAAAAATATTACTAACTGACTTTTAGATAGCTTTAAAAATTGACTCAAAAGGAACCAATTTCATTACATATGTTATATTCCACTCCCTATACAGCTTGCAGCTGGAAATTTCTTGTGAGTATCATATAGCTAAAAATATATTTTGAACACCCAATTCTGAGTCAAATAGAGTCTAACTTATAGGAAAATTACATACTAAAAATGTAGATTCATTGAACTAAATCTTTATAAAGACAGCACTTCCATCTTTTAGGAAAATAATTAATTCATTTTGGAAGACATGCCAAAATGGACACTTCCATGTTTTAGGGTAAAAAAATAATCATTTTGGAAGAACAAATTATGATCATTTGGATTTGGATATTTTGTTTTAATATTTAGATGGCCTGTAGCTTTGATAAAATTTTACTTCTTTACATAAAAATAAGCAAAAAAATGTTGCAACAATTTCTGTAATTACACTAATTTGTATTTCATTTTATACATGATCCCAGTTCAATAATTTATTTCAGAAACAGGTCAAACGCCAAATTCCTCATTTCAAGAACACTGACAAAAAGTATTCCAATATTTCAGATTTCAAAACAGTTTTATTTCAGCAGTTGATAAATGAATATTTTTCATATAAATATGCACTATACGAGTGTCTGTTCTTTTGGAACAATAATTTGCCACTAATGCGTGTTTTAGATTTTGGCGTTTGATGGATTTCTGAAATAAACGATTCATTAGTGGTTACAGCACAAGCAATCAAACACACATCACACCATTTGGAAGAAAAATTGACACAAACCAAGAACAACAGTGAATCATTTCTGGTGTAATTTCAATGATGAATAATTTTTGCGGTAGTTTAAATAAATTTAATTATAGGTGATATTGTTGAAATCATTCACACAGAAATTCATATTTGACAATTTGTAATTTAAAAAATGAATTTGCATAAATATTATCTAAATAACATAACACTCAATAACATGAATATAACAAAGTTTTAAAAATTTGAAAAAAACTACAAGAAATTTGAAAAGTATAAGAAATATGACCCACTTTAGTCACATGACACTATAGTCGCCAATCCACTCCATTGCACTCCACAAATTTACAATCCACTGAGAATTGCCTTTTACAGACTACACATTATACATGATGTGAATGTTTACTCCACCCTAAAAATTACTACAACGTAGCGCAATTGAACTGGTATTCTGAAAGGCAGACTTCAAGTCCACATGGACAGTATAGCATGGAATATAAACCGTTGTTGTTTTTAAGTTTTTCTATAAATTAATTAAATTTCCAAGGATATGAAATTAAAATTGAAATACCTGTTTTCATTAATTCCGTAGTTGATGCATGAATGTCCAATGCACTCGCAGCATCCATCATGAAACCATCGATAAGCAGATGAACCCATTGACTGACACACCATACGACATTTGTTCCATGAAACACACTGAGTGATGTATGCTACAGTGCAATTAAAGGCTGCCACATCCTTCGTTGTGCGATCTTCATAAATATCTGTGTATATATTTTCAGTAATATAATACAAAACACGTAATACAATAATTGAAAACAATGCTCAGAGAAACAAATTGAGACACAGTAATGGAATCGAGGAGAACAGTAGAATGATTTGCCACAGAAATAAAGTATTTATGAAGGAATCAGAGTTGGAGCCTGATCAATACCAGAAAGACAACAATATGTTAAAAGATGTAGATTTCACGGAAATTGAGAGATGACAAATACTGAGTAGTGTTGGCATCAACTCAGCAGCTGAACCTGCAGGAATTTCACCATCCCTACTTAACAACTGAGCCACTTGTTTGGTTTCGCAAAAGTTCTAAAACAAATGAGAAATCAATGATGTCAACTAAAGTTCCTAACACCCATTTTCATGAAGGGTGACAAAAAAATCAATAAAAACTATTCTGCCTGAATAATGGCAGGGAAGGTAATAAAGAGAATGGTCACCCAAAGAACCAAAAAATTCACTGACAGAAATATCATCCCTCAGCACTGATGTATGAGTGGACTAAGACACACTTGCTGAGTTCCCTGGGTAATTGGGTAAAGTCACTGCAAGTACAGACGGATATTGTTATCTGGATTTTGCAAAGGTATTAGTCAAAAGACATACAAGCAACTTGTACACAAGCTGCAACACCTTGGGATAGGAGGAAAGCTACTGGCATGGAATTTAGAATACCTGGTTGACAAATTTCCCAGCCCGCCCTCAAGTGTGGACACAAAACACTAAGGCAGGCATCCTGGGAGATACTTAGAAACTTGTAAAGTGATGGATGTTAAATAAAAATTAAAATTCACCAATGAAAATTAACAACTGTCCCTGAAAATTGAGAATGTACTTGAAATAATGAAAACTAACTATTGAAAATAGGGTTCAAAAATCAAATATACATCCTTAACTGGTGTTTTTTTTTTACAATAAATCATTGAAACAACTTAAGGGGATGAGAAAAAGAAAGGGATAAAAACATTAATGAGATGTTCTTATTTCTAATAAATAATTTCATACTTACGATTATATTTAAAATGCTTATTGAACTTCGAATTTAAAGGAGAGTCTATATCAATTGCAGTGTTGTATGTAACCCATCTCTCTAATGTATCAGGTTCGGCAGTTAAAACACTGAATAGAACAGTCTGTGGGTCAGGAAAGTCTTCCACATAACTTTTCTTGCTCAGAGAACTACCAATGTAATTACGCTCTGGGCACATATCTGAAAATCAAACCAAGAAAAAATGCATTACTCTCATAGAAATGGATTTGTCAGGACAACAACATTACCACCAAGCAGTTGTGCAGCTTTTGTTCAGCAATAAAATACTGCATAGTCACATTAATGTCTGACAAAACCATCACACTTCAAGCACATGTAGCTGGAGGCAATGCAAGAGTCAGGCCAAAAATTTGCCTAAACAATACTGTAGTCATTGTGAACAAAGAAAAAAATGGAAAATGGCATTGCCCACGTAGTAAAAATAGAATAATGTTTTGCAATGTTTGTAGCATTTCATTACGTCAAAAATGATCTCCAACATCAATTTGAAATTTAGGCAAAATTTTTGTAAAAATGGATGTTAAAATAATTTTTACACCCATAAAATTAAATTTTGGCAATAAAGTAGATTTTATAGAAGTTGTTAAAAACCATTTCTAAAATTGCCAACTATCAAGAATTTTACTATACAGTTTTATTGAAACTGATCTTGAAGCTTAAGTGCCGGTGTTAATATTAATTAATATATTAGACTATATGACCACAAGGTCTTAAAGATTTCAATGCAACTTCAATTTAATTAAAGAAGAAGCACAAACTGCTTCTATTGAATGAACTATTTAATAGAAGTTCCATTGAAACTTACATTGAACATTGATAAATTCTTCAATCACACATGTCAGCGAACATCTTCCCCTTCTTTCATTTTGTGTAACTTTTAGGATTAAAGAAGTATATATAAAGATCAAAATAGAAAAGTCAGTAAATTAATGTACATGAGAATGGCATACACATTCACAATAATAAAGATGATTGAATTCAATCTTGAATGCCAGTAAAATTGGTTGAATGTTTAACTGAGCCATCATCAGACAGTGCACGAGAGTATACCCCATAACAAGGTCTTTCCTGCATCTTGTTTTTTTACGTATTTTTCTTAATTAGGTTGAATTGAATTGATGCCGTATTTTACATGGCAAGTTCTTGATTTGTTGGTAATGTTTTGAAGACATTCCAAGTATTTGAATAGAAGGTGCTTACCAACATTTTTATTTATTGCACTATCTAGTCAAATTTCTGTCTTACAGACAGATCTGATGACGGCTAAGCGGAAAAAAGTTACTCGCATAACAAATAAAAATATTGGTAATGACAACACCTTTGATTCAAATACTGTTCTGCATCTATTGCATACATGGGTAGGTGAAGAGAAGATATCCAAGTGATAAAGTGTAAGTTCTGACCCAAAGTAGTGCAATAATCTGGTTGTGGACAAGAACACAGTAATCCATAATTTATGAATGAGAATAATGATGAAAATGGTCAGAGATATTTTGGTGCATCTATATTTTTGATCTCGGTATGTTTCTGAAGAGAATGTTGCCAATTGATTCTTAAAATCAAATCTTTGATGAAATTAAGTTTTATTGTTGTTTAGATTGACAGGGCCCCAGTTCTCATGTTTCACCTATTTTAACACTCACTTAGTAACACTATTATTTTAACACACATATCCATTTCTGAGCCAAAAGAATAAATCCTAAAAGCAGCTAAAATTAGTTATGATCCTAAAAGAGAATAAATCATGAGTTTCTAAAATGTGTACAAATTGTCTTCAGAAACTCTACTGCTTCATTTGCTTACATTGGAATTTTACAGTGGCTTGGATATAGCATCTAAAATTACTGACTTTCCTGAAACTATTGAGAGAACCATTTCTCATTACAAATGTGCTTTGAGAGACAATAGGAGGACCTTCACACAAGATATTTTGAGATTGTATAAGGGTTTTCATTGCAGCAGTGCATCTTAAAGAAAGTGGATTTTTGGTTTGTAAGTTTCAATAGAATATTTAACAAGTTGCAATTTGTAAAAATATGTTATGGTCTATGAGTACTTGTTTAAGTTCAGAAGTGAAAGCATTGAATAAGTTAAAATTTCAACTTTTTTATGGCAAATATTGTTCGTCCTGGTACAAATGATCAAAAAAATTATAAAAACCTAAAAAGGGCATTTTTTTTAAACAAAACTCCTAAAATGGTGTATATAAAATCCTAAAAGTCTGATTCCTCTTTATTATTTATTGGGTGTAGCAGCACAGTTAGTTCAAAATCAAGTGGTAGGGGATACCATTTTCTTGCTCACAAACCCTTGATTATATTCATGTACCAAGTACAATGAGATCAGAAAACTGAAGGTTTTGTGAAATTCACAATCCTTGAGAGTTTAAAATCAGAGTTTTGCCACTCTGTTTGCCATGCGATGAGAATGGAATGTATTACAAAAAGTTTGATATCTTGCATAGGCACCTCTAGGTCTACCGTTGAAATCATGTCCAACTCTATTGTCTCATCAGCTCCCTCATTTTGTTATTTCTGTGGGACCAAGAATCAGACAATGAAACAAAATTTCAAGGATGGAGCATTAGACAATCTATTTGGGGTCGAATATGTATTGTCATGTCACAAAGAGAGGAGAACAAGATGGATTCAAGAGCACTTCTGGAATCACTGCAAATCACAACTTTTCATGTTGAGTTACTATGTATTTACGTCATCAACCAACTGAACACATTTCAGTACCTCCCACTGCACATTTCATGACAGTATATATGCTGTATGAAGAGACAATTCAGAAGCAGTGGATGGCACTCCGAAAAAAATCACATCCTACTTTGCCATGGGTGATGGAACAATAAGTGTGCTTTAAGGTGTGGACAGGATTTGTGAGTTTTACTTCCTGAAAGGCCATCAAAAAATAATTGAGGAAGTTGTCAATCAGGGAAGATTGCAAAATCTGTGGCCTGATAAAGGTTGAAGAAATTTCGAAGGGAGGACTGAGTTTCAAGTGGGTTCCACAGCTATGGTCAGTTTGAAATTAAACTTTTGTAGTCACAGGGATGGTCAGTTTGTAATCATGAAAATGGGAGCTAGGAATGTGAAGGATAATCTGAACACACATGACATACGGTAACTTGGTTAAAGGGAAGGATTATCTAGGGCTGGCAATTTTGCACCATAGAAAACAACTCATACTCAGCTTCCGAATCATTATCATTAAAATTAATAATTTTCTGTAACAAATCTTCATATTTGTTTCCCAAATTGTCTCTTCACTGTTGCAAGACTGTTTTGGTTTCCAGACATGTTCGTATATCACAGTCTTCTTAAATTAACTTTAGTAACTAATTCCACACTTTTTTGTTTTATGTTAGTCAAGAATTGCACTTCATCTCCTTGTTACCATTCTCCTGTATGGTACCAAATATTTTTCTAACAAAAGATCCTTCAACCTACCATTTCTTTTTTTGTAATGGCTGTTATGATGTTTCATCCATAACAAAATATGAGCTAGATATTTGGAAAATCTAGTCCATTTTGTCATGAAATTATGAAAATGGGGTCTAAGAAATTAATAAATTTCATTTATCTTTTATATGCCAGAACAGGAGTCAATGCAGAAAGTATTTTCTGTATATGGGTATGGGTGAGTGTGTGCAAGTGCATACATGTGTGTGTGTGTGTGTGTGTGTTTGTGTGTGTGTGTGTGTGTTTGTGTGTGTGTGTGTGTGTGTGTGTGTGTTTGTGTGCAAGTGTGTGCATATGCATGTGAGTGAGTGTGCACACAAGCATAGGGCAGACGTGCAGTTTTGTGTGAAAAATTTGTTTATCTTAACATTGTCCCTTGGGTATCCGTGTTTGTCCCTAGTATTATTCAGGCAGAAAAATCATATTTTTTTAATAAAAATGACAATATTCTAATACAATTATCATAGAAAGGCAAAGGAAAAGTACATTGTATTTTCATAATTAAAAATGTTAATATCCTTTACATGAAAGCCTAGATTATGCAAATATACTAGAAGGAAAATGATAAAAAACGCCACTTGAAAATCTGCAAACCTTAAAGAGAGCTCCAAAAGAATTACACTTTGGCTAGCAAATTTCTTTCACAAATTCTACATTACATTGGAAATTCTCCAAAAGACCACACTTCTCAAACACTGATTTTTCTTCAAGTGCACACTGAATCTCATATTTTGTATGTACATTGTACCCCTGTTAACAGACCACCTCTTTCCCTGATATCAGATCAGCCTCTTAATACCTTCTTTTCATAATGGAACATATAAGAGTCCACTTCAAAAAAATTGTAAAAATAGAGCACTCCAAAATTTCAATAGTTAAAATGAAACTTAAAATTGTAAATGGTATTCATGTTACAAGCCCTGTGCCTTGTTTCAATTCTCAAGAAATCAGAGAGTCGGGAGTACTTTGGGAATATGTAGCAATATACCATGGCCACTGATATTATACCACGGCTGCTCACTCCATTTCAGATTCATTTCTTCTAGTGTGACAGAAGATACGAAAGTGTATTAACATTTAATTCTTTGAAATAACCAAGTCATCCTTATTTTCCTGGAAGAACATCTGGCACAGTAAAACTAAATACATTTACTAGTTCAGAACAAATTATTCTTTGAAGACTTACCCACACATGAACAGCAATCGCTATACAACTCTCCCAAGCAGTTGAAACATTCCTTACAGCATGAACAGTTCTTCAGATCACATTTACACGATTGAGTCAACATACATTTGCTCACAACACTAGCACACATGGCTTCATTGCAACTTCCAATGGCATCAATAGTCATGGAGGCAGTAGTCAGAAAAATTGCAAGATATAAATACAGCATGATGGAGCTGGAAATAATTACATTCATTAGATGATCAAACCATTTTCACCAATTAACTAGGCATCATAAAATTCAAGATCAGATCAATTCAATTTTAAAATAAAACTCAAATAACCAAACCATGACACAAAACGTAACTACAATTATAACATAAGAGAAGTTGACTCAACTGAAAGATTACCAAGGAAACCATTCAATACGTCAACATTAGAAAACCAAGAAGTGTTGGTAGTTTCCACAAAAACAAGTTCAAGAAATGTTAATTTTAATATTATTATTTATCATAAACTTTGGAAGAACAACCAATTATAATTTATATTGGTACAAAAAAATATAATAATGTATAACAGAATGGCTTGAAAGGTTCAAAGAGAGAAAACAGAAATATTTTCGAAACCTGTTATATTTAACTATATCCAAGAATCATTCATCTATGAATTCAATTATCAGCAAAAGTACAACTAGGTAAACTGTTCCAATGCCTCATGACCCAAGCTAATTTTCATGAGACTTTTAAAATCAAATTTTCAATTTTTTCATGAAATTTCTGCAGTGTTTGGCACTATCTTACCCTGACTTAACATTTTAAAATGGAATATGAGTGACAAATGAGAAATTGCCAGGATATTAGCATTAAAATGAAACTAAAACAAAGTTTTAAACTATATAACATCTCATTTATTCCAGTTTCAACTAAAGATACGTTGTTTCCCCATCTGTCTCCATAACTTGGAGCATGATTATCCTAAACTACCATCTGAGGACTTTGAAAGATGCAACTAACTTGTTCTGCTATGAACATCAGTCTCCCATATCATTCTGAAATAACTTATATTAATTTTTGACAAAGTCAATTAATGTGTTTCAATTTCTTACAGTTCATAAAAATGCTTTCTGAGATGTTTTATAGGGAGTCTCTCACTTTCAATATCGAATATTTGATATGAAACTACTTGTCCGACTCACTGAAGCACCTGTGTAAGAATAAAGCACACTGTACTAATTGCCTCTCCATGCAATATGGCACTCACATAGTAATTATTAGTTTTCTTTGAATTAAATCTCCATTTTTAGCAGGTTTTACCACTGCAGAAATAATTTCCTATTATGAGTAAGGCATGACTGAGTATAACTTTATAGCATACCACTCTCATACTTTGTGCTCAAATTACTATTAGTTTTTAATAAAATATATTTTAAAAATCTACATCATAACTCCAAGGAAACTGTACATCATGAACAGGTTGAAAACATATGTACTGCTGAATTGCATTTGAAAATAAACGCTTTCGTCTTAACGAATTGAGGGGTTCACGTAAATCTGACATGTCAAATGATCATATAACCTCCGATAATATGACATTTGTACTCACATACAGGGTACACAAACTAAAACTCACAGAAATGCATGCACTTGACCGACATATGCAAGTTACAAATGAAACATGACTAAATTAGACACTAACTATTCCAGGTATATACCTTAAGTACGCAACACAAAATAACAAATCTCACAACTCGTAAATGTTACTGTCGTCCCATTCACTAATATTCGCTAATATTGACTAACAAAATGAATAAAAAGCATTCCACAAACAAAGAAGGTCCAATAACTGTATACTCTCTGATCATTGCTGATGACACCAGAGAGTAAGTATTGCACTCCGCTCCCAAACATGCGCTCTAACCCAATGAATGTGACTTATTGTGGCGGGTCATTCAAAATTGCGCCAGAGCGTATTCAACATGTATACAGCGTCATACCACAACATTGTATTCTGTAACATGGAGCTCTATGTGTCTTCTGGTATATTCATATTAACATCCAGTTGCTCTTGTTCGAGAAACCTCTCTATTCTGCTCAAAGTCCACAAACTGAAAAAAACTTTGGACGGAGAAACAGGATACAGTATCGGCTTGGTAATTCTGCGCGAAGGGTGAAGATCGGGGAATACATGTACATGTACATTTTTACATAAAAAACATTGGTAATTTCATATTGGTCAGACTAAGTTGTTTTATGAGACCGAAGGCCTTAGACTCATCGGAAACAGTAAAAGAAATCGACAACTTGATCTTAAATGTGTTTTGGCATAAGAATGGACTCAAACTTTGCAATTTCCAGAATCGAAGTTGTTGTGGATTACCTTTACACGCCTGCTTTAAATACAATTAAATTAAAAACATAGAACAAAATTGCATTGTGCAGCAACACAGTCCCACCAAGAAGAATGAGTCTACTGACCTAAAAATTAGCCAAGGGTTTTATATCATTTGATTATCGCTCATCTACAGTTAAACTGGCGTTTGGTTGAGTGCAAAATTCCATTGAGTCCAAAATTGATCCATGTAAAATCGTCTTAACAAAACTAAATTAAAAGCACATCATATACAGTGTTTTGTTTTGTTCTTTCCACAATATACAAAAATATGTTTCATATTCTTGTAATATGTTTGTCATTGTCAAAGTATAAATATGTCAAGTTTGACATAGAAAATGAAGTCATCTTTTGACAGATGATAATACTGAAATAATTCAAAGAAATAAATATTCTTTATTATCTCTGTAAACGTCTTGCAAATTTTCGTGAGTAATTTACATTACTCCGAAACCATCCTCACATACAGTCTCTCTATTCAATACTTTGGTACATTCAACAGCATGAATTGCATTATGATTTTTTATGTTCACAATACTTTATAGGATTTTTACCTTTTTAAACTCTAATTAAAACGTATTTGATTTAAAAGGCCACTACAAAAGTTTTGAGATTCACATATATGAAGATTATAATTTTACGAATAATTTTTTGCCTTCTTCCAGAAAAATTTGAGCCCCTCCCAAAAGAAAATCTTGGCTATGGTACTGGCCCAAATACTTCACTGCCAAAAAGTTTGTTAGGGAAAAAAAGGAAGTTAAATCTCAGAATTAAATGCAGAAAATGACTTACCATGGACTTTTAGGGAAATATATATCAAGCAATTGCTTCAAAGTAGCTTGAAATTTTTTTTCTTGCAAATCGAATACAATCGGACCGGACAGGACCGGACCGGACGGGACGGGACGGGACGGGACGGGACGGGACGGGACGGGACGGGACGGGACGGGACGGGACCGGACGTCTTATCATTTCTTGTTCTCTTGTCTACGTACAAGTTATTTTAATATACAATTTTTTTTTATATCCTGTTTTATTTAATTTCAGATTATGTAAGTCTAACTATGGAACTAATTTCTTCATCTTTGTTCATTCTTTCTCAAGATTTCTTTTGATCTCTAGAAGCTCCCTGAATGATTGCTGTTGTATAAAATATTCTGCACCCTTAAAGGAAAACTCTTCTTTTCGTGTGCCTTAAAAATATGTTAGAAAACATGGCTTGGATTACGTAGATCAGATTTATGTAGTTTTCCAGTATCTTCCTAGATCTCACGACATACTACACTAAAATCATTGGATAACATTCTCTAAATCATCTACTGTTAGATCGATCATTTCTTTAAATTTAACTTTTCCGTTCCTTTTGTTCTTTTCTTTCTTCTACCATTTAGCAAGAATCTTTCAAACTCTCTTTCCATTTAATTGGTTTGAGATTATTATATTTTTTATTGACTTTAGCTTTACAAAATATAGATTCAAGTATTTTCCTACGCAGGCATTCTGTACTTACATTCCAAAAGCTGAAATACATCTTGTTATATGTTTAATAATGTGTAGAATTTCTTGTGCTGGTGTTATTTAGAGCGAAAGGAATAAATATTTTCACAACTACCTTCAGTGATCTTAACTGCCATGTGGACTCTTAACATCCTATATTAAGCTTATATTATGGATGGAGATTTTGCTTACACTTCCGTATTAGAGGGTGTTAAAAAAAGATGTTTACTTTCTCGCCCTTACTTCGTAATAAGATAAAGTATTGTAATTGTGCGCCGAAAAATGGCAAAAGTTTTGGCCGAAAATCTCATATGGCGCCTTCCCACGTCGCGACGGCGGCGCGCTTCCTTCAAGCAGCAGAGCCCTTCCGACGCCGCCACCGCTGCAGCACGGCCGCACCGCCGCCCGCCGTGGAAGGGGGTGGGGTCTGCAGGGGTAGGTTTCTCCGACCCTCTGGCGACGTCAAACAAAGGGACCGCAGCAGGTAAAACGCAGTGACCGGCGGCATAGTGGGAAGGCTACCATTTAAGCTGTATTCTGCTAGCGGTGGCGCGTACTTTCCGGTACTTTCCGGACAACTGGAAATATGCGAGCATTTCTATGCTTCCGAAACCCGGTAAGGATCTCACGATCGCGGCGAGCCACAGGCCAATCAGCCTTCTCCCTGTATTGGGAAAAGTATTCGAGAGGCTTCTTCTCGCACGAATCCTTCCAGCTGTTCTCTCTCGGAACCTAATTCGAAACGAGCAGTTCGCTTTCAGACCGCGCCACTCCGCATCACTACAAGCACTTTGCATAGCTCAGCAGATATCCGCTGATCTGCTTCTCACACAGGATGTACTGGTCATTTACCTCGACATGGTACAAGCCTTCGACAAAGTGCCACACAACACACTTATCACGAAACTTCGGCGCTGCCTCCCACAAGACGTAACCGAAATGATTACATCTTTCCTCTCAAACCGAACATTCATGGTAAATGTGGGAAAAGCGAGATCCTCTAAGCGGCGAATTGCTGCCGGGGTCCCTAAGGGCTCCGTCCTCTCTCCGCTGCTGTTCTCTATGTTAATGACATACCGCAAATACCACGAATAAGACTATTCCTGTACGCTGATGACATAGCCGTCTTAACAAGAGGAATAAACCTAGACCATAAACTAAAAATACTACAGAAACAGATGAACCCGACACTTAAGTAGGCGGAACAAAATCACGACTTTCTCAGCGGAAAAGTCGCAGGCAATCTGTTACAGACGCCGCAAACATAAACACACAAAGCGTTACACACCGCCTAAAAAAATAACACTTGGCACTCAAAAATTGAAGTGGGCACCCAAGGAAACTTTTCTGGGCGTCACTTTTGACCGAAGGATACGCTAGCATTTACATGTCAGGCGAATTAGATCAAAACTTCAATACAGAGTTCGCCTCTTACAACCTCTTTTGAGGGAACCCTCACTCCCCTTGGACCTTCGTCTGTCACTCTACAAAACGTGTTGCCGACCTGTGGCATCCTACGCCGCGGCGACGTGGTGGACCACAGCGAAGAAGTACAAGGATACACTTGAGCTCGTTCAGAACAGAGTTCTACGGCTCATAGCGCGCCCTCCGTTTCGGAAACGGTTGAAAGCTCTCAGAAAGGAACTCGACATCGAGTCTTTCACTCAATGCTTGAGACGGCTTTCTTTCAATGAAGCCTATCAAGCCTTTCAAGTGAAGCACCGGCTACGCTCAAACAACTAGCGCGACATATCCTAACTATTGGACACAGAAGACAAGCTCTCCCCTCGGATATATTGAGGGCATAGTGCAACGCACACATGAAACAACAAAGTCATAAACATGACTGAACCCAAACGCCAATCTGGCAAATGACGAAGGTCCGACGCGAAGCTACACAAAGCAGGAAAACGCTATGCGTGCGAACTGCAACAAACAACTATCACACAGTAAAAAGGCGCGCGCCTCCGCTTCGCGTAGAGAGAGCCCGCCACCGCTTACCGCAGCAGCGGACGCGCGCTGCACTTGGGAAGGGGCCCGTCCGTAAACTCTGAACTCTTTACATGAGCCCTCATTTATATTTTCAAAATTTTCTCGAGGATAGTTAAAAATTTTCTTGCCAAATTGTGTCCTCTGGTAGTGTAAAAGACGTTTGAAAGAATAGCGCAGATCTCATTTTCGTTAAAATCACCAATTTCTCGAAAAAATGAGTCTTTTCGTGTAATCTTGCGTGAAATAAAGGCATTTTTTAAGCTTTTTTTTCTTTCTCAAAAACATCTCCAATTTTTTTCTTTAAATTTTCTCCGCGTATCAAAGAATGGTTAAAAATATGGTGCTAGTCCCATTTCCAACGAACTCTCTGTATTTTCGAAAATTGCAAAAAGGTAACATTGTAAAACAACAAATTTGAAAACAGATTTTTGTCTTCAACAAAAACTGTTCAAAAAATTCAGATCTTTAAAACAGGTCATGTACAAAAATTTGTTGAAAAAACGAGTAGTTTTCGCGCAATTTCTGCTTGAAGTTAATGCAAATTATTAAAATGAAAACATTTTCTTGCTCCAAATTTTATCCATGGGTAGAACAAGGACACTTAAAAGTATGTCGCAAGTTTCATTTTTGTTGAAGTCTCCGAATTTTCGAAAATTCCAAATTAAGAAATAATGCAAAAAAGTAGTATGTACTGTTGTAACACCACTAGTGTAATAATTTTATATATATTTACAGCAATTTTTATTTTTTTAAATTTTTTATTTATATATTCATAGAAAACTACATTTATAGAAATTTGTTGCTCTCACAACAAGAGAGAACAGTGGTGTCTCCATCATGATGTGAATTACGTATGTCAATTAATGTACATATAAATAAGATACTTTTATTCACCCAGCCTCACAATATGAGGTCAAACTCAATATAATACAAGCAAGCGAATGAGATTTTCTGTTTAAACATATTTTTGTGTTTTAATTTTTTTTGCCTGACTTTTTATTATTGTATTTTGATACATATTTTTTAATAACTGTATTTTTTACATTTAGTGACATAATTCTCAAAACCAATTTTGTTACTTCATAACAAAGAAAACAACTCTTCTATCTCAGTTCACATGATATAGTACTAAGAATATTCTTGTTTCTTAGTGATATTTGATATTTTACATGCCTACTGGTATTTACATGCTAAGAACCTTTGGTGAAGTAGGAAAGTTTTTGTTGAACGATTACAGAAGACATAGAAATGATATATTATCAAATACAACATGACCTAGTTACAACATAAAACAAAAATATAAAATTGCTAAAATAATAAAAATAAAATTTGATACTTGAAGAACTTTTATCCATGATCTGCTAAAAACTTTAACTGTGGATCTTGATGTCAAATTTATTCATACTATCATTTGATGTTGATAAATCAATCATTTTAGATAGATTTACATTCTTTTGGAAATTGTAATATACTTGTCAATATTTTTTTCTTGGAAGTGTTAACTTTCATTTCATGTTGTTTACTAATTCTAACATGTCTTCTATCATTATTATTGTATTTCCTTTTCACATTAATCCAATATTTTCTGTTCTTTTCCCTTCCAATTACTATTGAAATAAAAAATACCTAGATTTCATGTGACACTAGTATATTCCAGATTTCTTTCGAAGAAATATTCTTAGAAGATGAAGGTTTCTTCAATTTCCAATTAAAAATATATTTATTAGCTAGTCAGATATTCTTGCTGAGATTGTGTTTTAACACTTATGTGGTTTTTCCTAGTATTTAGCACCATTATTATTCGCACTTCAGTGGAACCTGGTGCCCCAACAAACTCGGGGTATGCATCTCCATTGAATGACAAATGTAATTTCCAGAATTCAGATCATTAATACATAATAAAACATACACAATCCAAGTAAATTAAAACTAAGTTTAATAAATGTCAATATTCAGACATTACTTACGTAATTCTATTCGTAGTATCCCTGTCAGGTATGTTCACCTCCTGCACATATGGTTCTGACTTTTTTTTATTGGTTCTGCCTTGAGACAATTGCTGGTAATAGAATTCATATAAAACAAAAACAAACTTAGTTTTCTAAAATATGGTTTCTTCTTTGCAGCTAGACATCTAATTTCTAATATTTTGAGGATTTTGTCAATCAATGGAGGATGGCCTTTACAAGGAAGGCAAACTAGATCATGATGGGGAAGGAAAAATAGCTCATGATCTGTGATCCATTTTTTAGGCTACTGCCCCACCTACCTCTTGGAATTGATCAGAGGAAACCATGTAAAATCAATCCAAGTGGTTGGCTCTAGAATTCTCATCCAGGGATGGGTCAGCTTCGACCAAGCTATTAGAACCCAAACCTCTGAAATGTAGTAGAATGTACACAGAACAGTGGATTAGTTTGAAACTAGAAATCTTGTTCTTGTTATCTGTTTGTTTCTAATACATTGAAAACAGTGATCTGCATCACAAAATAACATAAATGCAGAAAAAGATACAGGTATTGACACAAGGTCACAAACTAGTGTATAGTTAGAAGGATGTGGATATGTCTTTTCAAGCAAAAACAGATCTCAGTTCCTACATACATTTCTAAGTCATTTCTAAATGAAAGATAAACGTTACCACAATATTTTGAGGACTATTCCCATTGAAAGAAATCTAAATAATTTATTTCAATTCGAGAAGGGAAGGGGATAATTAAAGGACCAAGTCTTCCCTTGATTATTTGAACTCCATGACCATCAGTAATTTATAAATCTGTTAATATCCAATTTTATTTATTCCAAATGGTGCCAAGCATTTAGTATTTTTAGCTTCTTAAATAATATTACTATTAATTATAACTATCAATAATTTAATTTGACTTTGTTGTTATTTGATCAGCCAGTTTAGGTGCTGCATGTCCAGTGGTAACAACATAAAATAAAATCTAAAGATTTATTATGGATCAAGATCCACAATACACAATTTGCTAGATCCTTTTTAAAGTTTCTAATGTTATATATCTCAAACTGGTTTACTTAACTTAATAAAGTGTATCTTTTAACATTTATCACGTTTTAATTTTTGGGTTAAAACTAAATATTTTTACAATGAATATTCATCATGTAGATTATTTCAAGCACCTGTATGATATATTTCTGTATTCATAAATGCTTTCAAAATATGTTTATGGAAATACGATCATATGAGGGTGACAGCACAATAGTGGCCTATCCCACATTTTTAGGAAATTGAGTTCTCTGTGTTAATCACATCTTAATCTCCCTAACTTTAATGTGTAACAGTTTCAGCATGTTCGTGTCGATAGTTTTCAAGTTATAATTACAAAAAGAACTATTGCACTCAGCTTACGATTACATTTCTTTGTGCAATAGTGGCCTAAGCATAGGTGATGCTGTTTTACACAAGATGTAATCCACCACAAATGTTTAGTCAGTGATCATTCTTACATAATATGAAAACACTTACAAATGAGTGTTAAATTTTGCCAATAACTTCAGCCATTTTCTCCAAATACAGGATCTGGGGATAGGCCACTATTGTGCTGACACCCTCATATTACCTACAAATACCTAACATCAAATTGCTTTACTATGCAACACACGCATAAAGCTGCACACTAACGATGAGTACAAAAAAATTTATTTTTCTTCAAAAAGTTGTGAGTAAGAACATTTATGATAAAGTTTGATATTGACATTAGGAGAAAAAACTATTCATTGCAATTAGTGCCAAATTGATCCGCGATAAACCCATGCAATAAGTAAGTTTGTCACCTGTCGTTTGTTATAAGATACTTGCTTTAAAACCAGCGTAACTAACCTAGTGAAACTGATGATTATTGTATATTTGGTTCATACCCTCAAAAATTACAAAATATTTTGGATATTCAACAGATTTTGACCACTTTAAATATGCCTTTTGGGGATAGTACTACATACTTAGAATACACCAGATGGTACCCTAAGGAAATAAAAAGTATAAAAAATTCAAAGCTCATTTCATAAATATGATATTTTATTTACAACACAAAACTACAACAGAGTTAAAATGAATGTACAACCTTTCAAAATAGTATGTTCAGATAAATAAATCAATTTTTTAAACAAAATTATTGACTTCCATGTACAGAAAACCTCCATACATTATAGTATAATACTGACATTAGGCTTTGCAGCCATATAATCTTTTACTGTCACACATGTTTAGCTCGGTGATCTTATAAATACAATGAGAATGCTTACCACTGCAAGCCCTTCACACTACAAATGGTACTTTATTTATTTGAAACTGAACAGGAATGAAAAGTGGAACCTAAAATACAACACTCAAAAAAGAAACTAAAGGAGGAACATTCACACAAGCTGATTGGCTGTATCAGGATAATGTAATTTTAATTTTATATTCTGAAAACATCCTTATATTCAAAAAGAAACATAAATATCATCCATACAGAATAGATACAATCGTACATCGCAACCACTATTGCTAGATAACTTCCATTAAAAATCTATATTCTGAACTACCACAGAGTACAGTAACTCTTCATAGATTGCATATACTAGGATAGAAAATATGTGCACAATCATGTATTCATTAGCCACATGTATATTTTACTACTACTCCAGACATGTTACCACAAAATAGTGTTCAATCCAGGATAATTTTGGTAAACATTCAAACAATGTCCATGCAAGTTCAAATGTAGACACACAGTAGCTGTCAGGTTTTAGTTTATCCTAGAAGTATCATCACGATTGAATTCATGATTGGTAAGCAGCTTGTGTGACTAGGTGCGCAAGACAAAGCGCTACTTCAAAACAAACACTGATTCATTGACACATGACTAAGTGACTTTATTCCATCCTATCATATGTCATCAATACTTTTCATGATTCTGCGAGTAGCTTCAGTAAGAGGAACATCGAGTCTTTCTGGACACTGATTCACTTTTCCAAAGTTTTAAACTTTCATACACCTTTAACTTGGGGGCACTGCATTAACAATGTATACTCAGTTTAGATCACAATTTAATTGCCTAATTAAACAAACATCTTCCCTTTGGTGCTCTAGTTAAACTTATGGTCGTAAACCATAAGTGTGAATCCGCACTTCTTCGATAGCTTTGCACCACTCCAAGGCATAACCCTCAGGATCTTCCAAATAGTATGTACGATTTGGCTAGAAGAAGAAACCATTTTATTTAGTTTACAATTGAAGACAAAGTGGAAGTGATATTTGTATAAAAACAGACTGATCAAGATGAGAACCAGAGTAACTGAATAATAAAGTTAAAACCCACACCCACACTCAGTAATATATTGCCATGTACTACTAAACTTACAGTGTGGACAAAAAATATCTTGAAATTCTTTGGTTCAACTCTTAGTTCTGGACTCCAAGGTATCTCTCCTTTTAAAACCATATCCACTGGGTCTACATAATAAAGGTGCGGTCCCAGAGTTAAAAATAACATTCTCCTCCTAGCAAAGAGACCCTAGGACAGAAAATAAGCATATTCATTACTACTGTCATTTTTTGATTAAGCATGAAAAATTATTAAATTACATTCCTGCATTTGGAAAAGTGGACAGATACAAATATATTATTTTGTGCTGTTATTGTTGTGGTTATTTTGTGCTGTTATTATTTTATACAGTAATTGTTATAGTTATTTTGTACTGTTATTATTTTATACTGTTATTGTTATAGTTATTTTGTACTGTTGTTATTTTATACTGTTATTGTTATTGTTATTTTGTACTGTTATTGTTATTGTTATTGTTATTTTGTACTGTTATTGACTAATGATGACATATTATAATGTATATGTGGGTTAGATATGTATTTATTGTATATGTATGCATAGGTTGTCTTAGTAAATATTTTTGTTCTGTGTTTTGTATTGTGCTGTATTTGACGTCTCCCATGTCATTTGTTACAACCAGCTAGATCAATAAAGTATCTATCTATCAAATGTCACCCCAACAATAACTATTCAATCACAGAAAAGGAAGAATCAATTAGTAAATGTAAATTGAACTCAAACCATCCTCATTTTAGCGAAGGTATGGATAATTATGCACGAGCTAGGAGTTTTGCCCTTTGAAACATGACATCACCCAATTCTGTGTTGTGCAAGACTCATTTAACATACCTTCCTTTTATCCACAAGCCCAGACTTCAGAATAAGATTCTTCTGAACTAAATTATGCCATTTGCTTTCTCTGGCCTGAATAGCCAGTCTTTCATTTACTTCTCCTGGACTTAAGTCTATAATGCTGGACTTTTTGCGAGGCCTTACGGGCTCTCTAGGTCGAGTCTCAATAGCTTCAGCATCTTGAAGATCGAGCCCAAGAAGCCTTGTCAATTGTTTATCATCAAGTCCAGGTTCTAAATGATCTGGAACCTAAAATAGTACAATACAATAAGATATGTCATCTCAACATCTTAAAAAAGCAATTCATTAAGAAATAAAATATCCAATTTTTTTTTCTTACCCTATAATGGCTTTTTAATTCCTCATTTTTAGATGTCCCAGGCAAGTAGGGATAGATTGGAGGTGGAGTTTGTTTATAGAGTGTTTCAAAATCCAATCCAGCAAAAAAGTGATGAGACCGAACTGATGTATAATTTCCAATGTCTTTAGCACCAAGTCTATTTGTAGAATCCAATACCTACAGACGAACAGATAATTCAGTAGGTTGAAGTAGCTCCATACAGATCAATTATATTTTTAATTTATCGTGTACACCATCATAAAATACCTTAATACTAAACAAATTATTACTTACCAAAAGTTTCTGAACCAAGTCTTTAGCTTTAGGTTCAAATCCATCTGGGAATTCATACTCCAATTTAATAATTTTTTGGAAAATCAAATACTCACTCCTATAACAGATGAAATATAGATTGAGATGAAATTCTCTAGTAGCATGATACTTTAGTGTAATTTTAAAGTGAACCCAAGATTTCAAACAAAAATGTTGTATACATACCTGGCAACAAATGGAGGTAATCCTGCAACCATCTGATATATAATACATCCCAAAGCCCAAAGGTCTGAACTTTTTGAAACAGACTTTTCAGTTAGAAGTTCAGGTGATACATATTGTGCAGTACCAACAAAACTGTTTCGTCTTTGCCATGATGATTGTTCTCCATCTATAAAAGTAATAATTTTTAAAATAGATGTTAACACTATTTAACCGTGTGATAAAATATATGAATAGGTTCTACCTCGCCGCCGAGGTTGAGGTCGTGGTTTATCATCCAGAATTTTAGCTGAACCAAAGTCAGTGATTTGAACATGCATCCTCTCATCCAATAAAATATTTTCAGGCTTCAAATCTCTGTAAAACAAATAAAACACATTAGATCCACATTATATGTCCTTGTGTACAGGTTTCAGAATATGTTAACGTTAAATGTAATATTTCCTTAATTATTCTAGATAAATGGCACATTTATAGACACAAAGAATTGGAGGGGGGTGGGAAGGACCAAAAGGCCACTCTATTCTTCCTTCCTCACACTAATTCTCTTTGAACAAAAATTATGAAAACAAGCTTTAATTTCTTTAATGTGATTGATTTACATATAATGTGACAAATTAATGTACAGCTCTTTTAAGCATGGTAAGGTAAGTGTCCCAATTAAATAGTGTTGGTGAGGAGGACTTGCCTTTGTTTTTATATTTCTGATACTTTTTGTAAACCCGTGTCCAATTTTTGAATTTGTAATTTCTACCTTCAAATGAAAACGCTTCTCTAAAAAGAAGTCCTTTGGCATACAAAGAAACAAAATCAGCACACTTCACCTATTTATTATTATTTTTTTTTAAGAACAGGAAAATTTGCAGAGCTTCAAAGTTTTAACAGTATTTGAAATAAGAATATAAATGTAATAGTAAGCAATTGTTCACTTAAAAGAAAGAATGTGTTTACCTGTGAATAATTCCTAATGAATGCAGGTGTTCCAAAGCTCTAAGAATCTCTGCTCCATAAAATCTGGTACATTGAATATCAAAAGATCCAACTTTATTGATGTACGGTAATAGTTCTCCATTTTTCGCATAAGACAAAACAAAGTCTAAAGCATCGTTAAGGAAAGTCACATAATTATATGAAGAAAGAAAGAAGAAAAAAAAACTCGTCCCCATGCCCAGGTGTCCTTTACTCATGGTTGACCCTTTCTATCCAGCATTAGAGGCAAATTAGACTTCTTTGAACAGTATTTTCTATTGACTGGAAACATTAGTTTTCAGAACCTTCCAGAACATTCCAAGAGAATTTTATTAATATGTTTTGGGAGATATTTTTATTAATTGTAAAATTTGAAGGCACGGAAGTCTCCTAAAGTCACGAGAGCTCAGAGGTGATCCATTCACCTCATTCAGTATATTTCGACAAGCCAAATTGAGTACATTTATTTAGCCAGTTCCTGGTACAATATTCTGGAAGAATTCTACGGGAAAAAGGGTTTCTTGGGGGATGTTTTAAGACAACAATTTGTCTACAGTGATGAAAATTGCTGTACTGTCTTTCTGAAAATACGTGAATCTTTAACTGATTCATCAGATTTATGATAATGTAACCTAGTTTTGAAATGAATCTAATTTAAAAAAAGTATTTATATCTATGCTTTTTTATGCAAGTTCCTCAGTCTGAAGATGAATGAGCAAGGTACTGCACAAAAATAAACAGGAAAATACTCAGCAGAGGCACTGTGCTAAGCTATTAGGTAAATCTGTTGTGATGTACATGTTCACTATTTGATGGAGAATCTGTAGCATGATTTGCAGTTTTACATTTCAATCATATTGTAGATATAGTATATATATGTAAGGATACACAGTCTCTCATTATCTTGAAATGTACTGTACAGTTTCACAAAAAATGGAGCAGTCTTGTTTTGATTGGAATTCAATATATTCAGCACTTCCTTTTCCTGTTTCACATATTCAACTTTCAGCTCTTTCACTATATGCCTCTTCTCACAAACTTTAACTGAAAAAATAAAACAAAAACAAGAACTTTACAATTATTCTAGACCTTTATAGCAGCGAATAATACAAGCTAATTTGCAAAATTACATGCAAAATTTTCTAATATCTATATGCTGAAATAATTTGTAAGAGATTCTATAATAAAATGCAGGTGGGCCTACAGAAAACAAGGGAACAACAGAATTCACCTTTCCAACAACAGAAATAACTTCAGCAATTAATACGAATTAGTAATATATTTTTGTTTAGAATTAAATAAGTAAGTGAATAAGTAAATAAATAAAGTAAATAAATAAAGTAAATAAGTAAATAAATAAATAAAGTAAATAAGTAAATAAATAAATAAAGTAAATAAAGTAAATAAATAAATAAAGTAAATAAAGTAAATAAATAGAGAAAATAGCGGTCCTAATTCAGTCAGGGTAGGTTGCCCCAATTTCCCCCACCCCCCTCCCCGCCTTATAGGCTTGCCCGATAAAAAAATTGTGCATTGTAACTTTCTTACACAATTTTCTTGTTATTTTGCGAAAATTATTTAAGAAACCACTTTTTCTGAGGTAAAAATATTCAAAATTTAACAATAAAAAAGGAAAAAAATAATTATTAAACTTTTTCGAAGTGTCAAAAACTATTGCAAACCTCCAAAAGTATATAAAATTGGTATTTTTTTGAAAACCTGAAATTAATAGAATGAGTACCAACTCACTTGCATACTCCTTGCTGTGATGAATATCCTTCGCCAAGTACACCGTCGAGAAACTGCCTTCTCCAATGACCTTCCCAAAAATGTAGTCTTTGGCGGACTGTTTGGCAGGCGGCGCATTATTGGCCGTCCCTGTTGCAACAGCCGCCGTAGAGCAGCCTGTGGAGGACGCGGAGGAGGAGGAGGAGGAGGAAGAGGAGGAGGGGTTGGGGGAGGAACCGGCGACGGCAGCAGGGGCGACGCCCTCCGCAGACTGCCGGTTTTGCGGAGAAGCCTGCGCCGGTGGCTGGGCGGCGGGGCGCGGGCTCCCCGCAGCGCCCAGGGCTGAGGAGGCGGCGGCCGCCGGGCTCTGGGGCGTCGTCGACGGGGGCAAATTAGTGATGTCGTGGAGTTGAGACGTCCTCGCCGGGGCAGGCATGGCCATCGTCACGACGACCGATGCTTCCGACGGAGGGACCGGCAAAGCCGTAGCGATGCGCTGTGGACAAAAGACGACCCCGTCAATGCTTTTCAAATTCTTCTAAACTTCAGAGTCCTACAATGTAGGCTTCAAACTTTGCAGTAAGTGTGCATGCTTGGAATGAAAGAATTGTGTGCTTATGAATTGACCTCATTTGAATTATTAAATATAAAATTCTTCATGAGAACAGTCTAAATTAATACCAATGGCAGGTTACCATGATTAGCATGATAAAAATCTCTACCTCCAGCACACACTAACATTCTTCATCAATAGCATACACACAGGCAATGGTCGGGCCGATTGTGTTTTCAATGATTGTATGAAGAAAATCATACTTGGGAGTAAGAAACCACGAAGCAGCATTCATACTCGCAGGGATTCAGAAAGTATTTCAAGGGGATAAGGGCAATTTCAGTCGGGATCCCCCCCCCCTTCACGAAACACATACAGACAAATGAAGTAATAAATAATTGGTAGGTTGAAATTTTAAAAAAATATTACTATATACACAGATCACAGTCTAATATAACGCTATATCTGATTCTATATAATATATATATATATATATAT